CTTAATGTAAGGTCCACTTCCTAGATTTTTCCAGAGTTTTTAAACACTAGGATAATGGTCAGCAAGTACAGCTGTTGTCCAACCATAGCTTAGCAACCATAACTCCACAGCAGAATGGTCAAGCTTTACATTTCTTGGTGTTTATCTGCTGTAATGTAAGCTGCAAATGTTAGCATGTCCAGCTAACTAGCTTACTACCTGTTGCAGTAACCTTACCTTAGTATTACTTCGAACGCCAAGCAGCATATCATTGGCTTACTTTTATTTGAAGGGTTACAGGGTTAGGCAGAGCTGCTAACTCTTACACATTGCAACTCATGCAAGTAGCCATGTTTTCATCTACTTGTCAAGCAAATTTAAAACTGACTTTTGAAATGTCTCAATAGAAGAGAAAAAAAAAAGTGAAATAGGTGTGTTTCTATCTGCTGGTTTAGAGCGAATAAACAAGGTTTTGGCAAGCGTAGTTACGTCAGTGGTTGACGTTACACATGGCTGTAATAAACAAGATGCAGAAGTTGCAAAACAGAATCAGTCTCATGGACTTGAGAACCATGGATCTGAGATAAATGGAGAGAGGTCCTCAGGAATATGTTTCAAGCAAGCAAGTTGCTCATAGCCATCTCTCTGCGCATTTTAAGAATATTCGGGAAAGACGCCAACAGCAGAAACAGTGGATCAGTCGTGAGTTACATGGTCAAAACTTATTCGGCAAAAGTGGTTCCATCTACCATTTAGCTCATTAAGTCTTTTTCAAAAAAGGCAAAAACCACCTCAAGCATAGATAGGGTAAAAACTTTTTTGCGAAATTAAGGAAGTTCAAATCTTACCATATCCATCAACCTTTTCTAATGCAATACTTCAAAATGGGTATGAAAAAACGATGGAAACATGGCTAGTTACACTTTTCACATTCTTTCATGCCACACACCAATTTTCTCTCTGCCCAGCTGATGTGACAACAGCACACACCTTGATAGTAATAAAGTGGACCCACTCTCAAGGAAAGGGAAATAATTAGTGAAGAAAGCCGAAGCGTTACATCTGGACTACCCTGCTTAGCCTGCTACCACTGCATAAGAAAGAAAATGGATGGATACTGGATAGGTCCTGATTTTATGTTTTAACAGTAGTCTGTTACTTACATTGACATGTGTAAGCCACCTCCAGGTACTTATAAGTGCCGACACAGGGGTCTCCAAACACTAAGTTGCTCGCTCTGATAGCACAGCTGTTTTCCCCGTTACAGCTGTGGATGCAGAGTGATGTGAGTGAATACAGGTTTGAATGTGCACAGAAAAAGAGGAAATATGGGTGTCATGTGAGGAAGATTAACATTTATATATTTCCCTATTGTTGTGCAAAAAGAGTGGGTAGCTGTACCGTTCAGCAACTCTGCTTGTAGGGCGCGAGCACTCGACATTTTGGATCTGAGAGGCAGGTCGCTGGTAAGAGCATGTGGTGGGGTCACGGCGTCCGTAATCAGCACCATAGACTAATATAACCTGCCCTTCATCTGACAAAAAAGGGAGGGAAAGTATTCAGATGGTGTTGAAATGCAAAGACAATAACTATGACATTAAAGCAGGAGTCGGTAACAACTGAATCTAATTTAAAATAATGCAAAGCTTCTTTCTCCACTGCTCATATCACTTCACCAAGCCCCTCCCACTAAACCCATAAGAAGGAGCTGGTTGCCCTGCAAAACCTCATCCCACATGGGGCTCGTCAAAATCCCAGTCGCTTCGACTCATCTTCTCACAGACAAAACTCCAAGACTTTGCAGCCCAGGGCAGAGCGGTCAGGTAAAGGAAACCTGGGGAGTCAGTTTGAATGGGCCTGATGCAGCTGATAACATTAATATCTAGAAAGCATTGTTATCTATAATTTATAGGGGCTTTGCTTAAGTTTGTAATAGAGTATATGCCTCAGCCAGTACTAGCACAAACCCAGTCCAGACGTCAACCAGTACGAGCACAGCTAGAGATGTACAGGCATCATCAAATACAAGCATCTCAGAGGACAGAGTTAGAGCAAAGAGGTCCATTCAAACTAGCAATAAATTGGGAAGAGGTTTCCACTCAGGGTTATTACAGACTGGAGGGAGAATTGTATTGAGAGCACTGCGGTGTCAGGTGTGATTATGCAGCAATGGTAAATTCTTTACATGACTCACGAGTCAGGTAGGCTCCCATAGCTGAATTTTGTTTAGGGACGCAGGGAGGTCAAGACCAGCTCTGGGGTTGATGTTGTGAAATGGCACAATTTGGTTAGATTTAGGTACCAGAAATACTTGGAAGTTTAAAAACATCATGGTCACTTAAAGATTCAGTGTGTAATATTTCTGAGGATCTATCGACAGAAATGCAATATAGTTTTTATTACCTTAGAATGAGACATTTATATCTACATAACCGCGGGGCCCGCCTTCCATGGACGTCGCAATGTTGCCTCATGTTTCTAAAGTAGCTGAAAACGAACAAACAGTGCTACAGAGCACATTTCGTCACTAAGTTCTTGTTCTACTTCTGGTAGAATTCAGGCAGTGCAGACACTCATCACTATGTTGAATATGTACGTTAGAAGAAGAAGTAATAATAATATACTGCAGGGATCTGCAAATAAGTTTTTCATCAGAGCAATATTTTTATTGCATTAACATGTTGTTCAGTTAGCTCAGTTGGTAAGGCGCAGGACTCACCTTGAGACAACTTTTTTTCCCCTCTCTCTTCAGCAAATGGATTCTGCAGCGAATGTTTCTCACATCACGGCATGTGCTGCACTGTTTTTGTTTCAGTGTTTGATCCACATCCATCAACCTACAGATGCTTTTGCAATTTCCTTTATCTCCAGGCAGAGGACATTTAGGGGAATCATGTTTTCTGACGGCTCTTTCGGTGTGTCAAGCAGCTACAGACTCTTTTAATGTCGTTCAGAATTTTTCAAAGAAAAAGCTCAGTTCAACTCCAAATACTGCATTACAGTAACCAAGCTTCTCACACTTTTATTTTGTAGACAAAACCACCAAAGAGGAAGTGATAATGTGAGTAACTGTTGCTGCCATGACTATCAAAGCACCACTATCAAAGTATTTATTTATTGATATTTTTTGCCGCTATCAAAGCACTGTAATCTGGCAGCGGGCCAAATGTTATTGTTGGCGGGCCGTTTTGGAGAGGGTCTGTCAGTGGCCTAGTCACAGTAACACATGGTTTTACTGAATAATTAAGTAAATATAATTTCTTAATAAATATACATAAATAAACCTAAGTTCTTGACTGGCTACTCTCTGCTGTCTCAGAAGAGACACCTTTTGTGCTGTTGTCCTGGAGGATAAAATAAATTAGCCTGCTGCATCACTTATTTGCACCCCCCCCCCCCCCCCCCCCCGCCCGTATATTAGTACTTTTCTTCTTTGAATGTACGGGCATATTCAGCGTAGTGATGAGTGTCCCATGCCGAAATTGTACTAGCAAGAAAAGAACATGTAAGAGGGACCCGCAGTGTATGCAGATAGAAATTGCTCTTTTTAAGGTAATAAAAACATAACTGTTCATTATGTAAGGTCTTTATCCACCACTGAAAACATAGTTATCTTTATTACATTTATGTCAATAGATCCTGCGAGAAATATTACACACTGGACCTTTAACTTGTTGTTATGACATGCTAATGACTTTCACCAAAAACATTTTTTTTAATTGGGATTTTTAGCTACTGCCTTTCTGTTTTCCGAGCATGGTAATGTAGATAAATGTGTGCATGCTTCAGTGAAAGACATGGCAGTGCCAATAATACACCGTTGGCTTTCAAAAAATTGTATTGCCGTCTAGCAACACCCCTGGATGGGCAGTTCTTCTTTCGCAGACGTAGTGTTTGCAAACGTCTATAGCCGCTTTGAAAATATTGAGCTTGACTGAGCATGTGTGAAGAGGGGAACTGCGCAGCGTGTGCATGAGCAGTCATTGACACTGTGTTAAAGACTCCTGGCTCTAATTTGTTGTTTTGACTCTGCAGATTCTTGCAAATGGCATTAGGAGGCAGAGGAACCAGATTTCATTTACAGATTACTTGTCTCATGTACTCCTATCATGATATAGTGACATTTTCATTAAGTAGTATGCCAAAAAGTTAATTTGATAAAACCTTCTGAACCTTTAATCCACCATAAATACAAAGGAGAAAGTGTGATCTTACCACACTGCAGGTTTGCAAAAGACTCTTCACATGCTACGCTGTAGACTGTCAAAGTAAAGATAAATCACATTAGACATATAACATTGTTTCACTTTTAGTTATGTTCACATTTGTCACTCACTTGCTGGTAAGCAGGTGTAGGTGGTCTCCAGGTATTTGTAGATACCGACGCAGGGATCAGAAACACGGAAGGTGTTTGTGTTTAATTCACACACCCTCTTTCCATCACATCTGTAGGAACAAGACATAGAGCTTCCATGTTTAGTGAATCAACATATCCCTTAAAGGTACTATTAGAAGCATTTTACACATATTAAATTGCTTTGTATTGCCAATGTGCTAATTGATTGTAACATAACTTCAAAAATGAGACCATGACACCTACAGTAGCTTGGTAAATAGCGACATGGTACTGTATTTGATTTGATTTTTGTTTAGATCATAAATAAGACAAGAATTAGGTTGGAAATGACTGATTTTTGTTAAACTGGATCATATTTTATGGAGAAAATATTTCCTGCATCTTTGATGACCGCCGGCTGGGAGATCTGGGGACAGGGGGAGTAGTGATGTATGCACATCTGGCACAGCTGGGAGGAGGAGTTTGGAGAAGTGCTGGGATGGGCACCAGAACTGGACGAGTGGAAAACGGAACACAGCTCAGCAGCCTCCAAGTGAACATGGCCGGACCAGGACAAAACACACCCTCAGAGACTGATGAAGGCCAGTTTGATGACAGGGAATACAGGGAATAAAGAAAATACAGTACTGAGGATACTGAGGTTTTCACAGAGGCTGTGTTCGGTCCTGGTCCAGCCATGTTCACCATTTTGGACGATGCCGAAGATGCTTGTGCCTACGGAGCGTGAGTGTGGCTGTAGAATCTGTACAGCATAGGACACCCTCTATCCTTAGATCCTCTGATACTCTAAGTGAATGAAATAAACTTATTGTGGTGGGAACGGGGGCCAAATAGAGGCCAAAATCTAGAAGATGTTAAAGGTTTCATGGCATGAATGAAAATGTTGACCTGCTAGTGACGCAAGATTCTAATCTTGAACATTATTGAGTGTATACCTTCTCCTGATGACGTCCACAGTGCCCCGCAGAGAGCACCGTGTATTGGCAAGCTGTTGTAGAGGTCGGCCCTCACTGCAGGTTGTACTGTCTGCACGTCCATACAGAGATGTCTGCACACGGATCGCTCCATTTTCTGTTACACAACACAGAGGGAAACAAGGAGAGGGGGGGGGATTGTGTGAGCAAAAATGTAATGGAGGAAAATTTACGGACCTCTTCCAGCGTGATTCGCCTCAACTCTACTCGCCTTTTTGGGTTTTCACTGGGGAAAAGTTGTACCTGGTAACAGCTACCTGGAAATAGTTTTTTCGTATAATCTCTTGGAGTTGAGGAGCTCAACAAGTGCCGATGGGGGGAAGCTAATGAGCCAGCCTTGTCCTACAGTCACACAGACCACTGCAGCCAATGCAGCAGACTACTCCAGCAACAGTGGCAGAGAAAAACACAGCTATAAGATTTTCGTACCGCTGTTCTATCTTTGCATGTTTTAACTTAAATCAAGAGGAATCTGGTGTGTGGATCCAGGGTGTGTCGCGTTGAACATTACGTCTCTGCAGTTTCATGCGGCGTCTCATGACAAGTAGCTGAATTGTAGGGGTACTTACTGCAATGGAAAAACGGAGGACGGTGGGCCAAAAGCGAGTTGAGGTGAGGCCAGTTGAGCTGTTACCAGCAATGGAAAAGCACCGTTACAGGATGAGGAGACATTTTTAATTTGTCTCTAGTGTTAACAAATCCCACAGAAAAGCCTGACACTGACAATATGTTAGTCTCTCAATATTTTCCAACTTCCAAAGCTTCTCTGTAGCTCTCAGATCTGTTCCTACTGAACATGTAAATCTTTAAAAATACAAGTACTTTCATAAAAAAAAAGACTGAAACAACTGGGCACTGTAGTTTTTAACAGACTACTAAATTATTTTATTGTTGCCTAAAAAAAACCCAACATGTGTACTTGTCGTTGTTTGAGTTCAGTCATACCACAGCTCAGGCGTTGGACGTTGAAGGCGTCATCGCAGGTGATCACCTCTCTGTGGACGAGGGAGTAGTCTGTTGGGCTCTTGAAAAGTCTGGAATTAAATGTTTGTTTTATAGTTAGAGCATATTTGAATAAATACATAGTTGTTGTGGAATAACAACCAAAAAGACCAAGTTATGGTTCTTATAAACATCTGGACATCTCTTTTTTTTTTCTTTCTTTCTTTCTTTCTTGATCTCTCTCGATTGGCTGAGTAGCATTCACATGAGATGATGGAACATGTGCAAGTGGTCTGTGAGTTTCCAGGGCCGCTAAACCAGTACAGTAAATGCTAGAAAAGGGTTAAAATAGAAACGCTCTGTCACAAGGTTGTGGTTCTCGTTAATAAATCGGCTATAGGTTCAGGTCTGGAGAGGATGGCGGCTGGGCCCAGGTCAATTAGTGACCTTGGCAATAACCTGCTGGCAATTCCCTCAGGCAAAGTCTGCACCAATGCGGAATTACGAAAGGTGTCTAATAAAGGGCTCAAAAAGTCTGCGAGAGAGCCCTCTCCCACATGCAAATTAAAGGTCAATTAAGTTGATCTCACTGTGAAAAATGCGTGCAGATTTCTTTATTATTTTTGTTATTTATTGAATCCATTGATCGCAATAATTCCATTGAAATTTATTAATTTGAACGTTTTAATGCTGATGTGACTGGTCATAAAAAGCCAAAATTCAAACATCCATTTACCTGCTCTCAAAAGCAAACACGTCGCTGCCAGCACTGAAAAAGAAAAACATTTTTAAAGTTTATTAGTCTTGTAACTTAAGGTGTTATCAGTAACTCCCAGAACACTGTTGTAACACTGTTAAATAGCTGCAATCTTTCACAGGTCAATATTTTGTTTTATAATTAACAGTACAACAGTAATTTGAACTTAAAGCTTTGAATTAATACTTGTCTGCAGTAACATATGTAGACCATTCACTTTCTAAGTCACTCTTTATAAAGGGTTTGAGGGGTGTAACTAAGGGCTTATAACTTGATGATATAGTAACGACACTTTATGAATGACTTATTAATAACCTGAATGTCAATGACTCAACAGCCAGAGTTACCCCCCAAAACCTGGCAACCCAAAATGTCTCATAAATTTTTATATCTCTAAGCATCAGTAAATGCTTTATTAACCATTAATAAAGCATTTCCTTATGACTTATAAAGGCCAACTTATTTAAAAGTGATAAGTTCTAAACATTTAATGGTGCTTAAGTTCATTCAAAATGTTATTCAGGATGTAAATTTTAAGTCTGTTCTATAAAGTAGAATTAAAAGTTAGGAAAAGTATAAAAAAACTTAAAATGCAGAAATTAGTTTGAGCGGATGCTGGTAATTTTACCCTTTTCATCATTTTTTATTATCTTTAATTCTAATATTAAAGCCTGACAATATTTAGCATGCTTTCCCCATTCACTCAATTTATATATAGTTTTCATCAATAATTCAATAGTCAAATAATGGTACAATAATTTGACTCCGTCCCAGGCCACCCTGTTCACGCAAACCACCATATTGCTAATTTTGTGGACTAACTCTATTTGCTGATGTAACAGGTACCAAACTAGGTATAGTCTTTGACACTATGTTCATCTACTGACTTTTGGGACTGATAATTAAAATAGCCTATGTGAAAACAGAGATTTCAAGGTATTGTAAAGCTGTGGGTGCACCCTCAAAAACTCCAGAGTAATAGCCTAGGCTAGCTACACTCACCACAGCACATACAAATGTACAAAACTCGACACAAAAAATAAGCCTAGGCTACACTTTTAAAGAACAGAGTAAGATATAAAGAGTTTGCTCAAATGTTGAAAGTTTATCTTTATATACAAGCATCAATCATACCATGTTCACTGAACTTGAACATAACCCTTAAACAATGACAGTAAGTCAATGCATTTAAGACTTTTACATTAAAGGTCTAGGCTGCTTGTTTGCCTGTTTGTTCACATGAGGGGTGCAGTGAGACCCCACGGATCCAAAAGAGCTCTTAACACACAGAGATAACGCTAGATTGAAATCTCTCAAGTCTCCCGATGGCCAGTCCTCTAGTGGCTCGGAATATTTTTGGTACCTATCTAGCAAGCATCAGTGATATCGGTGAGAGCCCAAAGGATACTAAAAGACAGAACCCAGCCTGCCACAGCCTGTTCCCCCTGCTGCCATTTGGCACAAGATACAGAAGTATCTGCTCTCCACCAGACTACAGAGCAGCTTCTTCCCCCAGGCTGCCAGAGTTCTAAATTAATCGTAGCAATGCAGCATGCAAAATAGTTATTTTTTGTGACTTGTTATTTATCCACTGTGTGTGTATATGTGTCATATATATATATATATAAACAAATCTTTTGCGAGTAGAATAAATGGAAATACAACTTAATGTCGTTATACAACTCTGTGTTGTAAAATGATAAATAAATCTACCTACTACCTTGTAGTTTGTTGTGTACTTACACAGTGTGGTGCTGAGTCTGGAGTGGAGCATGGTGTCCGAAGATCTGGTTTGAGATGAAGAGCTGAAGTGCTGGTGGTGAAACTCCTGGTTTTTATTGTGTGAGGGGGTGAGAACTTTCCCAGGTTATACAAACAAGTCACCAATGGAAAAGCCTGAATGAGTTCCTTGTTAGCTACAACAGATGGAAGGTTACAGATTACAATGAAGTGAAACTTGAATCATCTTGGAACAAAAGTCTTCTTTCTATAGTATTTGTTATCATTTAGAAAACAAGGTCCCTGTGAACAAGCAGCAAATAACTGCGATATCATGGCTCAATTTTCTGTTTGCTTCCATTATGTGAAGCCTCTACTGTTACAATTGATATAGGAATAGGAAATAGGAAAAGTCAAGGGATCACCAAAGTGGCTTAGATTCATCCTCTAAGGAGCATAACTGTGTGTATATTGTTGTTGAGATATGTTTTATACGTAAGCGTAATGTTTTCACTTGAGAACATTTTTAAAATTTTTCCAGTTTTAATTTGGACACCGAGAGATGCTCATGTCTACGGTAATGAAATCACATAGCACTGTTGGAGGTTCAGGCTGATTAGCAGCAGCAAGACTCCAGACTCCATGCATGTAAGAGCTTCTCACAGGATTTTGAGCTATCTTGTTAATTGAGATATTAATTTTCCCCCGACAAAAACCTTTGTCTGAATTCTTGTTAATTCAGAAAAACAGGGCAAACACCTCTAATCGACTGGAAGTTGACGTATAGGCTAAAAGAGGCAGAATCAAACAGCTCTCTATCCACAACAAACCTACTGAAATACACAGTGGACACACCAACTTACTAAGTGAGGATAGTGCTAATCTTACTAGTATTTTCCATAAATGTACTCTTTAACATCAGGCATGACAAAGGCTCAGAAAAGCTGAAGACCCCATCAGTTCTTTCAGGTATATTACAAAAATGCGTTCTCTCTTGCTGGGAGTTAAAAACAAACATTGGATTTATAAATTTGAAATCTTTTTGCAAGAAATGTATCACCCACCTACGTGTATCCGGAAGAGAAATTCAACCCATTCAGTCTTCATTACAATGAACTTTCTGGAACTACACCTGTGTGGACAAAAGAAAAACATTTGCAATTTGACATGCTTCTTCCTTGTAACTCTATATTGTACAAGATACCTCGCTTATCATTTTACAACACAGTGGTGTATAACGAGATTAAGTTGTAATTTCCTTAAGGGTGCCAGTTATACAATGACAGGCAACGGTCAACGGTCAAGTTGACAGTCAACTTTCTTTTGCAGGTAGGTCATAAAGGAAGCGTGTGCTTCAGTGAACTAAAATGTTGCAAAGCTTACAATATCCTTGCTTGTTTAATTAATGTCTGCAGTCTGTAGATTATGATAAACCATATTTATTACACCAGTTAATGAGTGACACTTACCACACAAGTGTTGTAGTCAGGGGTCACCAAGTATTCTAGAGCAAAACTTCCAGCAAGTCAGACACACAACAGCAGACCTTCATTTATGCTCAAACACAAACCCGCACAATGCTAGATTTGAAAAGTGCATTGAGATGACTTTTGTTATGAATTGGCGCTTTATAAATAAAGCTGAAACTGAATACTTTTGAAATCACAAAATATTTGTGTTTTTGATTTTTACATTTACCTAACCAGATAAAACTCCTGAATTCCAGAGTGACAACAAATGGCATGCTTATTGTAAAAACACTCACAAAAGACTTAAAATGAAATAATAAACTCTACATTGATGTCAAAATATATCTCTACAATAACTAATCCTCAATTTCACTGCTCATGTCTAAGCACCACTGTTAGCAAACAACTAGATAATATATGACATTTTATAGTGGTAATGAAATGACAAGGTTATCAGCTAACTAACATCAGATGGCACATTTCTTTGACTGTTTGAGCACCAAGCATCACCATGTAAACAGTCCGCCTCCTCTCATCTCGCCGGAGCCTTGCGCTCTGACAGAAAACAGTGCGCCCACTTAGTGCTCTGGAACATTGATGAGGCAGGTCTGTGTAAAAATGTGGGCTCAACAGTCTACTAATTCCCGGTGTTTGGCAGCATGAGCCCCATTTCCTCCAAACCGGACATTTACTAGGAGCAGCCTTAAGTCCAAGCTGGGCCAGCATGGCTCTATCCCGGCTCTCTTTCCTCTCCTCTGGAGTGATCACAGCAGATAAAGTATATCCATATTGAGCAGTAATCAGCATAGAAAATGCCCGGTTCAAAATAACATTCAATAAGCTGATCCATACTGGGGCGTTGAGAGCAGACAAGGCTATGGCTCAGAAGGAACGGAAGAAGAGAAGTATTGCGAGCTAACGCAAAAGCATTCCAAAGGAACGCAAAGTGGTCCTCAAAAATATTCCTCTCCTGATCCTTAGGAGCCACTGTAAGGTAAGGAGTCGCACAGTTTGGGGAAATTAGCTCCTCTGATGTCTGGAGATACGACAGACGGCTGAAGAGTGTACAGGTTGTGACTGAGGTGGGTTCTATCGTTTATAATCGTATACGAAGGCACCGATCCAATATCACTGATGCTCGGAGATGGGTTCCAATGATCCTAAGAAACCAGTTTAATGTGCAAACCACCGGCCCACATCATCTGTGAAGCAGCCAAATCAGAAATATCTCTTAAAATAATTTTCAACACAAGACACCCTCTATCCTTTAACCCTCTGAAATTCTAAGTAACTATATAAAACATATTATATATTATGTTGAATACAATATCTGAGTACACCCCTCACATTTTTGTAACTATATAATTATATCTTTATATGTGACACAACACTGAAGAAATGAAACTTTGCTATTTAGTTTATTTGCACTTTTAAAACACAGGAGATTCAAAGCGCCTTACATCAGGCAAAAATGCATTTAACACAAAAATTTCTAAAGCTGAATCAATAGTTTAATAAAACTTAATGATATAATAACAAAATTAACCAAGTTGTCATTCAGTTAATAGAAGTGCAGTAGAAAGTGCAGTAGAAACATTCAAAAGGTACAGTGGTATCTATATAGATTTCCTTTTAAATCAGAATTGATCGATTTCATTGGCTTCTTGATTACGTCCAATACTTCTCTTGTCATCGTATCACTGTCTTATTTCAGTAAGAACGTTATTCATTCAAAAGAATATGTTATATGGTTTGCGCAGGATCTGCAAAAGAACAGATAACAAGTTCATGTTAGATGATCAGAATCAGTATCAGAATCAGCTTTATTTGCCAGGTATGTGTACACATACAAGGAATGTGACTCAGGATTGTACATTGCTCATGATGTGCTTTCTCATACAATAAAGGAAATAAATACAGTAAAGGAAATTGTAATACAATAAAGGAAATGATTTAAGTGACTGATCAGTTATATATTATTATTATATATTAACATATTTTATTACTTAAATTTTTACTTTACTTAAATATTACTTTTGAATTATTAAATAATTGTTATTAATTAATTATAAATACAAATGTAGCCTGTAAATAAGAGAATGCTTTTGAATTCACAGCCTAAAAGTTTGGATTGGCTGTTTTGTTATTGCAGCACTGTTTTTTTTTTTGTTGTTTTTTTACAGTACACACTACCTCTACAACAACATTGTGCTGCGGTGAAAGTACTTTTATTCAAGTACTGTACTTAATAAACTGTGTTTCTCCAAATGTGTTGATTTTGAATGTTTACTTTTGTGTACATTCTGCTAATAATACTTTCTTACTTTACTTAAGTAAGGCTTAGAATGCAGGACTTTTAGTTCTGTGGAGTATTTCAACAGTACTTTTACATAAGTAAAGGGTCTGAATACGTCTTCAACCACTGCATCAGGACCACAGATCAGCTTCAGTAGAGTGAAACAGCTACTTACATTGACATGTGTAAGCCACCTCCAGGTACTTATAAGTGCCGACACAGGGGTCTCCAAACACTGAGTTGCTCGCTCTGATAGTACAGCTGCTTTTCCCGTTACAGCTGTGGATGCAGAGTGATGTGAGTGAATACAGGTTTAAATGTGCACAGAAGACTGGGAAAAATGGATGTTATTTGAGAAAAGATTAACATGTATGTGCCCTTGATTGTAACCCACCTTGGAAAACTATGACCTGGATGACTGAGAGTCTTCACAGACAACATGAACGATAATAATCTCTACTGTTAAAAGACAAACAGTGGGCAGCTGTACCTTTCAGCAACTTTGCTTGTGGGGTTTGAGCAGTCGACATTTTGGACCTGAGAGGCAGGTCGTTGGTAAGAGCATGTGGTGGGGTCACGCCGTCCATAATCAGCACCATAGACTAATATAATCTGCTGTCCATCTGAAAAAAGAGGAGGGGAAATATTCAGATGAATGTTGAAATGCAAAGAAAATGTAACTTTATCACATTAACCCACCAAAAATAAAACAAAACTAAGGAGAAAATGTGATCTTACAACAGTGCAGGTTTGCCGAAGAGTGCTCACACACTACGCTGTAGACTGTCAAAGTAAAGACAACATCAGACATGTTACATTCATCAAACGTATTGTAGCTTTGTTTCAATGTTAGTTACGTGCACAAATTTAACTGACTTGCTGGGAGGCAGGTGTACTTGGTCTCCAGATATTTGTAGATGCCATCACAAGGATCAGAAGTACGGACAACATTTGTGTTTATTTCACACACCCTTTTGCCATCACATCTAAAGGGAAAAGATATTTTGCTAATAGTCAAAAGTGATAATGGCTAATGGGATCACCAAAGTCCCTAGGATTCATCCTTGGAGGACTATGAATGTGAGGTTAATAGTTGTATAGATGAAAGCCCATCGTTAATAATATTTTCTCTGGAACATAAAAAACACTACAATACCCTCCCCCTTACATTTACAAAAACAATTTATTTATGGAAAACAAAAAAAACTGACTATTTCATCTACTTTTAAACAAAGAGCTCCTAAATAAACTTTTATCGCCAAATGCAATCCGTTTTCACTCCCATGTCGTCATATACAGTTGTGCTCAAAAGTTTGCACACCCTTGGAATTGGTAATAAATGTACCATGTGTAAAGAAAACATGAGTGAGCAGGCAAAATACATGTCTTTTATTTCTTATGGGATTCACATTGAACTGTAGGTCATAGCAGAATGACACCATAAAACAAAACAGTCTGGTTAACCTTAGTTCTTAATACTGTGTATTGCCACCTTTAGCATTAATGACTGCGTGCAGTCTTTGTAATAGATGTCAATGAGGCCCCGAATTCTTGCAGGTGGCATTCATCTTGGCAAAATGCCTCCAGTTCATGCAAAGTCTTTGGTCGTCTTGCATAAACCGCACTTTTGAGATCTCCCCAGAATGCCTCAATGACATGAAGGTCATGAGACTGTGATGGCCACTCCAGAACCTTTACCTTTTTCTGCAGTGACCACTGGAGGGTCAACTTGGCCATTACCATGCTGGAAAGTCCAGCAGCATCCCATTTGCAGCTTCCGTGCAGGAGAATGCAAATTGTCTGCCAGTATTTTCTGATAAAATGCTGCATTCATCTTGCCATCAATTTTCACAAGATTCCCTGTGGGGATGGTATTCTGTTCACTATAGGCCTTGTTGACCGCTCTTCAAACATAGCGCTTATGGTTGTGGCCATACATCTCAATTCTGGTCTCGTCACTCCAATATCTAGCCTCCTCAGTGCATCCACGTGAGGGCTAACAAACTCATTGACTATTAATAAACACCAACACTAATAACACTGTGACACATCCACCAATGAGTCCCTGTGCAAGACACTTGCTCCAGGTGTGCGACCTCTGACATAAATAGCAAGTGTAAGTCACTTTGGATAAAAGCATCAGCTAAATGAATAAATGTAATGTAACTGCAATTTACAAAGCCACTGGTGTGGGAAATTAATATTTAATTGCCATTTTCACCTGCGTGTCACTTGTGACAGGCCAAACATTCATGGGTATGTAAACTTTATTATTCTTTATTATTATTATTGTTTAAAAAGCAGCCAAACAACTATGTAAAAAGAGATGTCTTCATATGATCACTATCCTTAAATCAAAGACAGTTATTTTGCATGATCGGTCATATTTTCAAAATCAATGCCAAAATTTCAAAATGTCTGCCAGCATATGGACACATGGTCAAAACCCTTTGGCGTCAGTTTGTAACTTTTAGCTGTTACAACTCTTTACTTGCTTGCTAACTACTTTTTGAAAAAAGTAGAATACAACAGATGACCTTATTTTATCAGATGGTACCTTTTCTGGAGGACCTCTAGAGTTCCCTGCTGAGAGCACTTTGTATCGGTAAGCTGTTCTGGAGGTTTCCCCTCACTGCAGATCTCACTGTCTGCACGTCCATAGAGAGCTTCCTGCACACTGATCACTCCGTTATCTGTTACAGTGGAAAGAAACAAGAACAGAGGAGAAAAAAATATAACGACTTCTCTTTGTAATCTTTATAACAGTCACAAATATATACAATCCTTTCTTTTTTTGTTAAAAGAGAGCTGGCCACTGTAGTATTTAGAAAACAGGAGGAATAGTGCATCACAGTTGGGGACTATTTTTAGCGGCGGATTAATCCACACGTGGTGCTCTAGTGAGTATTTGGGGCAGCAGGATGGTGCATGTGGGACTGAGTCAGAAATACCTCCAATGTGTGTGATCATCGTGATGAAGCAACATGTCACCCAGTGTGGCTCACTGAAGGGTTTTAATAATTTCATCGGATTATTTTACGATTAGAAAATTATAGATTATCACCAAACATAACATATAATTAAGTATTTGATTCTCTATTTATCAGAGTTGTTTTAGTCGGCTGTTGAATCTGATGTAGGCTATGTCATTGATTAAATGTATTATTTATAATTACTAAACCCACTTTTGTAACATTAAGGGTTGGATAATCTGTTCAAATGCTGATCATTTTTACTTTCAAATTTCCACAGTCTCAGGGCATACCACAAACGTATCTCTTTGGGGCAAATGTGTTAAAAATGTATCCTTCTGTGCATATATACAGTGTTTTCTTTTCATTTAGATCTAAATGTTTCAAAGCCTTCTCAACACTGCATGTCATTCTGGTGAATAACCCTAAAAACAAGCAAATTTTAAGATGTTTGTCTAAATAAACCCCCTAAAAACCATTAAGTTGTTTCAGTTGTTCATGCATACCACAGCTCAGGCGTTGCACGTTGTTGAGCTCATCACAGGTGATCACGCTCTCTATGCCAGTGGTGGTGGTGGTCTCAGAGTAGTGCAGTTGACCTCTAGAAAAGTCTGGAATGAAAGCATATTTGCTGAATCAAAAGTTGTGTAATAACAAATGTCTTCAACTCCTGTCTTATAACTTCATGGTACCTCATTCTGGATGTCTGTTGTTGAGCAGTTTATAGAGACATGAAGTGAAACTACAACTTCTGGGTTCTGTTGCAAAAGTAAGAAAATCTCATTCAAAATTCCCCATACATTTGGAACTACACTATTACTAAAATACACATTACTAAAAATCCAGCACTGGGGCAGAGCGACAGTAGGTCGTGTCATGTTTCGATAAGGTTTACAAAATGCTGAATGAGAGATTGCATTGAACAAGTGGAACAGAGGATACAGGAAGTGATGTCAAACTTCAGCTCTTAAATTCACAT